CTCGTACAAAACTTTACCCAATTCCGAGATGTGTATATGTAGGAGACTTTTATTGTTAGCCTCTGATTTTACAAGTTCATTCATAGAACTATATAGCTCATCCCAGGCATCGGAGGGTCTCCAGGGTGGTCCTCGCTCATTAACAAAAGTCGTAAAGAACATACTGTCCAGTACACGATATAAAAACTCACTTTCTATCAAATCTCGGGCACCCAAAAAGCCCGCCTTATGAAAAGTTATTACTGGTTTGGGATGAATTCGTATAAGAGTCAAACACGATCTATAGCCCTGTAAAAGTTGAGCAAATAGACGCATAAATATGGCTCTCAATTCCTTATCGATAACAGCTTCTGTTTTAGGATAATTGGTAGGTTTCTCTTGCGATGGAAAGGCCAAATCGGACTGTGATAGGTTGGGAAATAGTATCATTGTCAATAATTCCTGAGTTTGTTCCCACAACGGAGACGGTAGTACGGGTACGGGTGGTGTAAGGGTTGGTGGTATTGTTACCAAGCCACCATCTAAATCGACAACAATGACATCCAGTAAATCGGTGATTTCAGTTTGTAAAGAACTGTGAATGCCCATGATAAAGGGAGTGGGCGTTGAGAGTACTTCCGTTAGGGGTGCCGGCAAAATCGGAATGTACACATGGGTATAACGGAAGGGATACATGAGAGCCACTAATGCCTTACAACTCTCCGTTAGGTGGGAATAGCTTTTCGAATGAAAGAGTATTTTATTTTCAGTCATAACGGCGCACAGCAAAATTAATACATTTTTAATACCTGCAAAAAAACAAAATTGGGAAGATTAGATTCATGTATAAAATTTAGAATTGTTTTTCCCTCAATCAACTCACCCAATTGTTTAAATAAAAAATTCACCGATGTGCCCGTTACTGGCAACGAAGAAGATTGAGGTGGCTGCAAAGATTGCTTATCGCCTGCACCAATCGAAAATCGTACTTGTGGTCCGCCAGCTGGTGGTACCTGTATACAACCCAATATATTGCCAATTAATGTTTCCAAAGCATACGGTAAATTTTCTATATACACCGTATATATGGTACCGAGACAATTTTTAAAGGTCTCGGCATAATCGAGTCGTGATATTAGAACTAAACATTTGGGAGCATACATCACACTATGATGAGAAATAAGTGATGTCGAAGTGTTGGGAGATGGCGATGACGTTGATGTATTTGCACAACCATTGTTTGTGGGTAAGCCGATGCTATTGTTGAGTGGTGATGAGTTCGGTTGATATTTCGTTGAGGTGGATATGGTTTCGTCTTCTTCATCGACGACTTTCTTGTTGAGTGTAATGGCGAGAGTTTCATGGAAACTCAGGCAGGCACAATAATGCTTATTGGCATCGATGTCGGTAAGAACGGAGGTAAAAAATTTCGGTTCTTGTTTTTCGTATGAGAGATTCCAGCCTAATGGTTGGCAGAACTAGATAAGAAGAAATATTATATTAGATTAGTTGTAGACTAGAACTGAACTGGAACTGAACTACTGAACTAGAACTGAACTAGAACTGAACTAGAACTGAACTAGAACTGAACTAGAACTGAACTAGAACTGAACTAGAACTGAACTAGAACTGAACTGAACTAGAACTGAACTAGAACTGAACTAGAACTGAACTAGAACTGAACTAGAACTGAACTAGAACTGAACTAGAACTGAACTAGAACTGAACTAGAACTGAACTAGAACTGAACTAGAACTGAACTAGAACTGAACTAGAACTGAACTAGAACTGAACTAGAACTGAACTAGAACTGACTAGAACTGAACTAGAACTGAACTAGAACTAACTGAACTAGAACTGAACTAGAACTGAACTAGAACTGAACTAGAACTGAACTAGAACTGAACTAGAACTGAACTAGAACTGAACTAGAACTGAACTAGAACTGAACTAGAACTGAACTAGAACTGAACTAGAACTGAACTAGAACTGAACTAGAACTGAACTAGAACTGAACTAGAACTGAACTAGAACTGAACTAGAACTGAACTAGAACTGAACTAGAACTGAACTAGAACTGAACTAGAACTGAACTAGAACTGAACTAGAACTGAACTAGACTGAACTAGAACTGAACTAGAACTGAACTAGAACTGAACTAGAACTGAACTAGAACTGAACTAGAACAGAACTAGACTGAACTAGAACTGAACTAGAACTGAACTTGAACTGAACTAGAACTGTACTAGAACTGAAATAGAACTGAACTAGAACTGAAGTGGGAGCCAATAGCTGCTATATAAGTTGGTCCTTCTATTTGTAACCATATCATAAATTTCGAAATTTTTTTTAAATACATATATAGTTTTTATTTCTGGCATGATGACAACTAAGATAATGCCAAAACATTTTGAACTTTGTACTAATTTCCCTCATTCACACTTTAAAGTAATGGGTCGTTACAAAATTTTATATTTTTCGCCTCAATTACATTTCAATTCTCTTTTATTTAAAGAAAATTCAAAACGAAAATGCATTGAATATGCAGTTACTAACAGGCTATTATTAAACAGCACCAACGATCCTTCATGGAATGACAATAGTCCAGGATGCATAGAAATCTATCCCACTATAATGGGAAAACACCACTCCAATTCTTTTAAATAAATTTTAAAAGAGAATAACATAAATTCTCCTTTTCTCATCTTTGCAATATTTACCCATTCTATGCCTTCTATGAACGGAGTATCCGGCCAATCTTTTTCGGGAAAACGTTGTATAATCTTGCCACATGTTAACAATTGGTTATCTGTAGTTGTACCTAATTATAGAAAAACAAACATTAAAGGAAAATTACATATAGTTTTACTACTAATAAGAGAAAAATAAAAACAAAAACTCACGATCTTTCTCATTATCATAACCAACAATAACAAAGTAATCTGCCAGCCGTGACATTGCTCTCCCAAAAAAATAATGACCAGTTTATGAAGATAAGGAAGTAGATTGGATGTTGTTAATAATGCATTGCCTGCGTTTTCTTTTTATTGTGTTTTTATCGAACTTTGTAATTGTAAAAATAAAATAAAAACAAAACAAGAAATTTTTAAAAATACCCTTTTGTTATCAAACACGTACACATACGTCGGTCAAACTTTTTTTGGTATTTCCTTTCAAAGATTTGTATAGTATTTTGTATATTTTCTTTTTAAATTTAGTGAATTATTAATTTATTAACTATTGTTTTAATCCCCACTTATTTTCGTTTGTTTCTTTTTTTTTCTTGATATCTTGACAAAACCACTTTTTCTTGTTGTTATTGTGTTCACCTTTGAATTTATTATAAATTTTAAATTACGTTCCTACTTTTTGGTAGATTTCAATTCTTCTTTTCTAATTTGCATACACAAAACTTCTTTTCTTTTCTACTTTTTCATACCAGTTTGCCCCGTTTTTATTTTATATTTAATTAATTCTAAACACGTTCACGGTTTTAAAATGTTTTCATATTTCTGCTTAATTTGTTGTTGCTGTTTTACATGTCAAATTTATTTATTAATTTTAATAATCTCAAACTATAAATGTAAATTTCTTTAAAATTTTTCGCGTTTTTTCTTTTTTTATTTGTATAATAATCCGTAAAATAATGTTGCTGTGTATTATGTGTGTAGAAGAGCTCCGTTCAACCACACCCCTAGTAAAAAAAGTTTCTTATTGTTTTGTGGTTTTATGCCTTACAATTTAATGTTTTTATTAAATTTCTTTGTTATTTGCTAAGAATATAATGTTTACTTTAAATAAAACACAATTAATTTGGTATAAACAAATGAATACGCGTCGTTTTTTGTTAATTAATTGTGCCAAGTTGATGTATTATAATTCTTCTTCTCATTTTTTTATCCAACTGAAATTCTCTGCCGCAGCTGTCAAATCTCGAAAACAAACTTGTCAACTTAAATGGAGAAAATTAAAGCGATTTTTGGGCATAAGAGAAAGCACTAAATTAAAAGCTTTAACGAAATTCTAATACAATTAAAAAAACGTTAAAATAGCTATATTAAAATAGCCTATTTCCGCAATTTTGAACTGTAATTCGTAATACTAATTAGTTAACAAATATCTTCTCTGTTTTGTCTATGATAGTTATTAAAAAGTCCATTAATAAAAAAACAATATTGACAAGACTAAAATTATCTAATACAGAGATGTGTCAATGAATAATATTACCAGACTTACTGTGTTGTATTTAAAAATATCGTTATATAGTTTTTATGCCGATATCATTATAAATTCAGGAGCTACTTACGACTTAATGATTTTCAAAAGAGGGCTTTGTAAAAGAGCTATGGCCAATTATGAATCCATAATTGGTCATACATAATAATTTGCACTTATACGAATCAAATTAGAGCCGAATTTTAAGTCGATATCAGTATTAATGCATAGGTTATTTAACATTATTACATGGGATCTATGACCAATTATGGTCAGATTCGGAAAAGAATTAGCTGAACACAATATATTTGTGTAGAGTATTGTTCCGATATGGTTATTTATTAATAAGTTTTGATATCTTTATAGATTTTCGGAAGAAAATCTTATATAAGAGCTATGACCAATTATGGACCGATCCAGGTTTTAGTTGGTAATATTATTTCTATTAATGTTAGAATTATATATGAAAAAAATCAGTACTACAAAGATAGTTATTAACAATTAAAGCATTTTTCGGAACCCTCTTGAGTGAATATTCCAATATCGCAAATATCTGGGGTCTAGTCACTCAACTCATTTCAACATACATAAAGACAGACAAACAAACCAACTCCTCTAACTATAAGGACTCGCAATATATATATGTAATTATAAAAATAAAAACGAAATGTATATACTTTTCACGAAATTAAAAAAAAATATAAAAATTAAATTTTGACATTTAAAAACAAAACCTCACTTTATCATCCCAGTCACTTTCATCAATCTGGCATTCCCGTAAAACTGAAAAAAATACACAGCATTGTTATGTCAACTAAACACATCTGGCATAATTTGACATAAAAAGTGCAAATTATAGAAAAAAATTAGAATCCTCTAAAAAATTACTAAAAATGTGTTAAAATTTTACAAAAAACTAAAAAAGGAATAAGAAAATCTACTCACTAATTATATACAGTGAAAGTAATAGTTAAAAAGGCAAACGAAATGGCCCAGCCACCCACAAACGATAACTCGGAAAGGGCCAACAACAATGAGGAAAATTCTAATGCCGCAGCTCCTCTAAGTCCAGTGGTTAAAATTAAACAAGAAAAAATAGATCCAGAAATTGAAAATAAAATAAAGTTGCTGGAAGTAAATATAAAAACCGAACCTCCTGAAACTGGTGACACAGAGTCACAAACTACAAATGGTCATACGAAAACTAAAGATACACAAGATGACAGCGATGATGAGGAGGAGGATTCTAATGATTCGGACAGTAGTTCACAGGAAAATGATGATGATGAAGAGGAGGAGGCGGAGAATAGTAGAGAAGGCGAGGAAGATGAAAAGAAAAATATCGAGCCGGTTAAAAGCTCCAATGAGATATTAACCGAATTATTTCAAGTATTCAATGCGGCACCACCCGAGGAATTGCTAGATGATAAGAATTTAATTAAAAAGGCTAAAAAGCATAAAAAGGAAAAGAAAAAGAAGCATAAGAAACAAAAAGGAGAGTGCGTAGAGCTATTGGACGGCGAAGAGGGAGACATAACGCCTGGAGAAAAACATAAACATAAGAAATCTAAAAAGAAACACAAGCATAAACACAAAGACGGCTCCAAGGATAAGGATAAAGAAAAAAGCAAAAGCAAAGACAAGGAAAAAGATAAGGAAAGAGCAAAATCAAAGGATAAGGAAAAGGATAAAAGTAAAAGTGATAAAAAATCTGCGGAACGAGATAAAAGTAGAGATAGAGCACGCAGTAAAGATAGAGCTAGAAGTAAAGATAGAGATAAAAATCTAAAGGAATCTTTGGATAAATATGAAAAGACAAAATCCTCAACGGAACGTAAAAGACATTACGATAAAGAGGATTCAAGAGCGGACACGGCCAGCAAACGTAAGAAAACCGAGGAAAAGGACAAAACAAATTCCTTTTATAATGGTTTTAAAGAAAGGGAACATTCACGGGAGAGAGTAGGCGAAAAGGATAAGATCAAAATTAAATTAGAACCTAAAGAGAGAAAATCACGTCGTTATTCGGAAGAGGAACAAATTTCAGAAATTTCACTTTCCGATGAAGAGACTTACCTGAAAGAAAAAGAAACTCGAAGCAGTGATTACAGTAAACGCAAACAGCACAATAGCTTTTACGATGGTGTCAAGCGCAGTCACAGCCGTGATAAAGACAGGAGCGAAAGGCATCGTGGTCATAATGATGAAAGGTATAGGGAACGTGATAGAGACCGGGATCGACATCGGGAACGCGACAATTCTTATCGTAATCGTGGCTTCTCTAGACCTTATCACTCACGCTATTCCCGTTCACGTTCCCGTTCTAGATCAAGAGATTTGGGTATAGATAAGAAACGTCTATTGGAAATTGCCCGTAAAAATGCCATTAGTATGTTTAAACGTGGTAATCTGCCGGGCTGTGATAATATGTCGCAAGAGATCAAGGATAAGGTGCTACTAAAAATGCGTTATGGCGGACGTACCGTAGAAGATTTGACGGAATTTTGCAAGAAAATCTCAAATGGTGAAAATCTTTCGGATCTTTCATCCGATGAAGATTCTGATGTCGATAAGGCGGGCAATACTAAAGCTTTCCATCATCCCTTCCAGCTGAAAGAACGCGAACCCATAGTCATGCATATACGCAACTCGAAGCCTATTTTACCGATTTTAGCTAAAACCGAAGAACAAACAAAAGCCATAACCATGCAATTTCCAGTTTCCTCGGGACAACAGCATCGCATGACCGAACACTGGGTGCCCGTTGAAACTAAGGATAATTTGGCGCCTCTTCCTGCTCTACCAACTGCTTCACAGTCTACCACGATATTTAAAAGTAATTTACCTAAAAATGCCTTAGGTAAACCTTTACCTATGGCTGAGGAGCAAGAACCGGCATTTAAACCGGTACCGGCTCCCAATAGTGAAAGCACAACGTTAGAAACACCTGCTCTACCTTTGCCTGCAGTCGAAGCAGGAGTTGCAACAGCTTTAGCTGCCATTCCAACGCCTGTGGCTGCTCCTCTTGCAATACCAAATGCAATAATTCCTCCCCCTTCTCTACCCGCTCCTACTACAGCTATACCAGCTTCAACAGTAAATGTTCCATTTAGTTTGCCAGCAGCTTCCACACCCACAGCTTTTGTACCCGACGTTCCAGTACCTTCTACGAATAGTTCGGTATTTCCCAAAACTACTTGTACATCATTGGACGTGTCATCGATTATTTCAAAAAGACTTAATGCCATGCGGAGGTTACAGGTGAGTCTAAAACTTTAGAGAATTTTGGAGATTTAAGTTAATTGAAAATTTTGAAACATTCCTTATTTCTGCTTCTGTACTTGCTTTTGCCAGCCACTGTCCTTTTTACATTTTAATCAGCGTCCGAACGAATAAACTTTCGTATAGATCTATCTGCTTAGATAGATAGATAGATAGATAGATAGATAGATAGATAGATAGATAGATAGATAGATAGATAGATAGATAGATAGATAGATAGATAGATAGATAGATAGATAGATAGATAGATAGATAGATAGATAGATAGATAGATAGATAGATAGATAGATAGATAGATAGATAGATAGATAGATAGATAGATAGATAGATAGATAGATAGATAGATAGATAGATAGATAGATAGATAGATAGATAGATAGATAGATAGATAGATAGATAGGTAGATAGATAGATAGATAGATAGATAGATAGATAGATAGATAGATAGATAGATAGATAGATAGATAGATAGATAGATAGATAGATAGATAGATACATAGATAGATAGATAGATAGATAGATAGATAGATAGATAGATAGATAGATAGATAGATAGATAGATAGATAGATAGATAGATAGATCGATAGATCGATAGATCGATAGATAGATAGATAGATAGATAGATAGATAGATAGATAGATAGATAGATAGATAGATAGATAGATAGATAGATAGATAGATAGATAGATAGATAGATAGACAGATAGATGATAGATAAATAGATACATTGAAATTTCGATTTTCTTGTACTTAAAACTTTATGCGGCTTTTTGTTCTAAAATCCTGTTTTTATACTAAACATTTTTTGTGCTAAAAATTCAATTAAGTATAGTCAAATTCAATTTTGTATTAAAATTTATATTTTGTACTAAAATTCAATTTTGTACTAAAATTTTTATTTTGTACTAAAAAAAGTTTTTTGTACTATAAATTAAGTTTACTACAAAATATCGAATTTGAAAAAAACATTTTATTTGTACTAAAAATTTCGTTTTGTATTAAAAAAAATTCTTTTAGTACTTAAAATTTGTTTTTGTACTACAAATATCTGTTTATATGTACTAAAAATTCATCCCTGTGCTAAAAATTGATTTTTATAATAAAAATTCAGTTTTGTTCTAAAAATCCGTTTTTTACTAAAAGTTCAATTTTGTACTAAAAATTAAATTTTGTATTAAAATTTTGCATTTTGTACTAAAAATATGTTTTTTGTACTAAAATTTCTATTTGGTACTAAAAATGATGTTATCTACAAAAATATCGATTCTGTGCTAAAAATTCGTCAAAAATTACATGTTTTACTTAAATATCTATTTTTACTAAAAACTACGTTTTTTGCTAAAACTGCTCCTAAATTTTCGCTTTTTTATTTGCTTGCAAGTTTATAAAAGTGTAATTCTGCTTATTATTTGAAGTTCCCAACAATTTTATACGAAAAACAAGTTTATTAAAACTCCTCCTTATTCTGTATAAATACCTTTGCCTCGCAGGAAAATCCCATGGATTCAGAAGCCATTAAAATGATGTATAACTCCCAAAAGGAAATGAGTTCATGGGCTTCATCCAAACACTTGCCAGGACAATTTACCGGCAGTACGGGTGTTAATGTCCTAAAGCCAAACGAACTAAACTCCGGCCCACAGGTATGGGCACGTAGGGATCAATTAACCTCAACAAAACCAGTAACCGGTGGCATGGGTATGCATCTACTGCAAAAAATGGGCTGGAAACCAGGTGAAGGCTTAGGACGTGAAAAGAATGGTTCTTTGCAACCCCTATTGCTCGATGTGAAACTGGATAAACGTGGTCTAGTGGCTCAAGAAGATTGCAATCGTAAAGGTATACCCATGAAGAAACGCAGTGGCGGACCCCACAATGCCCAATTAGCTCAACAAAATCTCGAAGAAAAACATCCTGTCTGTCTACTCAATGAATTGACTTCGAAACGCAAATGGACACCACCGCTCTATACGCTGGTCAACGAAAAAGGACCCTCACACAGTAAAATGTTTTTATTTTCCGTGCAGGTTAATGGACAAACATTTACGCCCGAACGTGCTAGCAATACCAAGAAAGAAGCAAAAATGATAGCAGCCAAACATTGTCTACAACAAATTGGCATATTGCCAGCGTGTTAGCATTAAATAAAACAAACAAAAACAAAAACATGTTGTAAATACATGTAAACCAAGAAAAATTGATTTTTGTATTTTTTAGTAAATTTTGGAATTACTATTAAATAAGGCCATCGTCATCAACATCCATCATCTATCATCCACTTAGAGACGCGTGTGTTATTTATTTATATTCGGCTAAAGAATATGTCTAAAAAAATGAAAGAAAATACTATTTAAATGCTTTAAGACTTTTTTTGTATGTTATTTGTAAAATATACATATATAGTTATTATATATTTAAAGTATAGAGTTTTATTTAATCTTCTACTCTACTACTTTTTACTTCTTCTTTTTTAAGTTTAATAAGTTTAAATAAAATGTAAATAAACAGATAAATTTAAATAAGTTTTTTAAGCAGATTTACTCTCTCTCTCTTTTTATTGGTGGTAAATTAAAAATCCATGTTTTTAAACTAAAAAGTACGATTTTTTTTACTTAGCATTAGATTTTTTACAAAAAAATAGATTTTATTTGAAGTTCTTCTAAAAGTCTTCTGAAGTTTTTCTAAAAACCTGATATATTTTTACTAAAACTTTAAGTTTTTACATTTTTTTTTTATTTTTTTAACTTAAAAATATTTTATAAAAAAAAAACGATTTTGTTCTAAAAATTTTATTTTTTACTTATTTTTACTAAAATTTCGATTTTTCTTAAAAATTCGACTTTGTACTAAAAATTAGATTTTTTTACTAAGAATCCGACTTTTTGCTTAAAGTACGATTTTTTATTTTTTTTTTACTAAAAGTTTTTTCAAATCCTTTTTTTTATTAAAAATCTCTTTTATTTCCATAAAAATTTAAGTTTTTTACTAAAGATTCGATTTTTTTACAAAAAATTTGATTTTTTTTTTTTTATTATTAATTTGTTTATTTAAAATTAGATTTTTTATTAAAAATTAATTAAGAGTTTCATTGTCTCCTCCATATCCTCCTGCCCGTGTGAGGTAAGGTTATGTTGATAGGAGGATGTATACTACATCAAATCCGAAGAAATACACCTAGGCCACTATCGCGCCTGTTGTGCGCTCCTTATCATAAAAAAAGTGATTTGAATGATTTCTTTTTCAGTGTTCAGAAACTCAGTTTTCAGGACATAATTCCTAAGAATCTTCCAATCAGCGTTAGTCAGGAATGTTATTTGGGAAATAACGTCACTTCCAAGATACTTGGATCTAACTTCGACGAATGCCTGGCAGTGGCAAAGAAAGTGCTCCAGAGTTTCACTGTCCTCTCCACATGCTCTACATTCGTCTGAATCCGCACGTCCAATTTTGCATAGATGTGCTCGTAATCCTGTGTGTCCACTCAGAATACGTACCATCATACTAACTTCAGACTTGCTCTTTTTGAGGAGATTTTTTGTCTTGCTCTCATCAGGGTCACCCCATAGGATCTTCGTGGTTCTACCCGCTGTTTCATTATGTCAAGAGGCCTTATGGGATTCTCAGTTCAGCTTTTGTTGCGTCGAATGGTTTTGCGTTTTTCAGGTCAACTGGCTCGAGCTCCCTTCCCTTTAAAGCTATTTCATTCGCCCTTTCGAGATTTAGTTCTATCACCTGATATCGCCCTAATTGCCTTCTGGGTCTTGGTAAATATATTAAGCGCTGTGGGCGCCATATTTATTCTAATCCAATTTACGCATTCCCGTGTCATCGATCATCGATTCCGCTATCTACCTATTCACAGAAAAGTTTCCAGGAGTGGCTTTTCGAACGATTTTCTTATATTCACCAAGTTTATTACGATACTCACTCCAGTATACTGCGGTCTTTTTACGTCATGCCCGGTTAAATAGTTTGCGAAGAGTCTTCCCCCCATCCGGGTCCCCCCATATCCAGGGTTTCTCATCTGCGTGAGCCCAGGCCCTGTTTGAATCCTCGAACGATTCAACCAGGTCATTTCTTAAAGTTTCGACTTTGGCGTCTATATCCTCTTTATTTCGACATTGAAAAGAGTCCTGATCTAAACGGTTCTTTAGTAAGGTCCCGAACACTGTCCAATTAGTTTTAGACTTATTCCGAAACTTTATCGGCTTTGGTGGTGGTCTTAGTATTTTGAATCTTATGTACCAATGGCCATCAGAGCGTTGGTAGCCGTCTCGCTCCGATTGAGGTTTATTTGGATAACCTCAATCATGGTCATCCATTAAACTGTCTTCCAGCGAATAGGATTTCACCTCCTCGCTCTTTGGATTCGACTCCTCCGGGTAGTCTGAAGTGGGTATTAATGCAGTGGGTACTATTGATGGCACTGCGGTGTGGCATATTTGGAAAGCACTACTGTTCTGTCTTCTGGCGAAAGAGTGATTTCCCCCTCGCTTTTAGGATTTGGCTCCTTAACATTACCAGTACTTGCTAATGATGTTTTCGGTACCGTCTTAGGTGTTTTAGAGTCCTTGTCGGGGCCGATTTTGACAGCCCATTCAATTGGCGCCTTCCCAATTTTGGAAAGGTCAGCTGCACTTTCTTCAGGCAAGTTAGTGGTAACTTCCTCGCTTTTAGGATTTGACTCCTCAACGTTTTCAGTAGTGGCTACTGATGCGGTGTTCTTAGATTTTTTAGTGTCCTTTTCGAGGCTTGGTGCGCTTCCAATTGGCACCTTCCCAATTTTGAATATGACAGCGTTAGAGGCGAAGTAAGCCCTACCTTTATTCTTGGCTTTCTGGTCGATACCGATTACAAATAGAGTTTCCTCAGGTTCTTCTTTCCTGTAAAAGACATCCCATTTTTCCACGGCCAGCTCAGCATTTTGACCTCCAAGAATTTCCAGTATACCATCTTTTGACATACCCTTACCATAGAGCTTGATTTCGCCAACGTGTTCGTCTTCGGAATATCTGACTTGGCGTTGTCACCCTTCAATAATAACATGATGAGTTTTTTAACCATTTCCTCTATTACAAAGCGTCCTAAATATGGAGCCATAAGTGATGGATATCTTAAACTGTCTTTATTACCTAATGTAGCCCGGAAGTCATTAAGTAATCCTTAGGCATTACGACGATCAAAAGTGGTGGCCGCGTTTTTGGTTCAATAAAAAAATGGTGAGGATCTTGTTTGCTTTCATTTAAAGTTTACCAAATAAACTCATAGTGGTGAAACTTGTTGTTAAAATGGGGGTTCAGAGTATTAAAACTCTTCTCAGGTTGTACGCTCAGAAACCTCACCTAAGTTTCTAATCTCTTGGGCAAATTTGTCCAACAACACTAGATAGTTTACTCAGTACTGTCTAGTGTAGCTGAGTTTCCTTATGCACCGAAACCTTTGAGAGTTCAGTGTTCTAAAAGTCTCCTCAAAGTTGTCATGCTCCTAAGTAAATAGATCATAAGCTGCGCCATGTTTGCTCAGCGGTATTGAGGAACTGTAAAGACATTACATGGATTAGAGACAACACAAATGGTTCGGAGTTCTAAAGCTGTCTTCTGGAATGTTTTTTGAGTGAAGGAATTGATATTCTATAGCAGTACATACAAGATTACTTAACCCAGATACTCGTGTGTACTTTTTTGAGAGATTGAGCTGAACTGAATACGAATCCATCATATCAGTTATTCGGGATATTTCAACGAAGGAAGCAGATATGACCGAAGTTAAACTTTTGGACTATAAGAGATAAGGAATTTCATAAACAAAGATTTATATCGGCCAAAAACGCGGTTATTACATATTTTAGGACATGATATCTCGAAAACCAGTTGTGATGGAACTAAACCAGAAACGTACCCTTTCAGCTCTTTCCGATTGCGGTTAACAACAATATTAACCTGAAATGTCAACAAATAATAAATTTTTCAGCAACCAAGACCACTGTGCACCACCTTCAACAAATACACTCGAAAAATGCCTTCACTTTTAACGCTGCAAGATAATACAATAAAAATCTATAATGTCAACAACTTATGATGACATTATGATTAAAATTCTTTAATGTAAATAAATAAAATAATTGGCGCATTTTTTTTCTAGCTTGTTTTACTACGAAGTGGCTATATTGCTGCAGTTGTTTTGCTCTGTGCCACATAAAACTGAGCCAAGGGACGGACTGCGCAAAATCAAAAATTCACAAAAACATCTTGAAAAATGTAAACAAAAAGGAATTAAAGCTGCTCCTTTTTGTCAGTAGAAAGCAAAACAAACAAACAAAAACAACTACAATAAACACTGACAGGCGTAAGAAAACCAGCTGAGATTTTGCCAAACAACAACGATGACAAAGACTAGGACGACATTACAATAGTCAGAAATAAAGTGTGCTACTGAAAAATAATACATTCGCAATAAAAATAAATAAAAAGAAAAAAATATAAACACAAGGTGCCAGGTTTTTAACCCCTTCTAATAATTGTGCAACAACAAAAACTGCAAAAAATACTAAAAAGGGAAAAACACTTGTATTCCATTTGACTTGAAATGAAACTACTATCAACGTCGACCGAGTAGTCCTTTGTGTTTGAGTGTCGTTGGCAGTGTGTGTGTGTGTGTGTATTTGTGTAATGAAAATGTAGGGAAAACTGAAAATATTATGAAGGTCGTCGGTTAAGTGTATAAAGAGATTTGTTTGTATACGTTAACATCGTAACCCAGTAGTTCGACAATGAGTCAATGCATCCGATAAAGACAGTCATTTCCATTAACGTCTTACTACCTGTTTGGCTCTAATTCGTCAGGAATATCATGAGTTTTGTAAATAAGATTGGAGTCAGTTGCCACTTCAGTTTTGTCCTTTGCAAGCGAGAGTGGATTGATTCGTCACTTTACAGTCCTGAAGTAATCTAGAGAAAGGACACTTGGAAAACAAACTTCAGCTAATATGTTAATTGCCACGCATTGACGCCTTAGGACTAGCATTCTGACTACTCTCTTGGAAAACTATGGAGTGACGATTGAATTCCTTGAATTCCTAATCATCAGGGTAACCGGTGGCTGAGGGAAACCTGAAGTGGTAGGTTAAAAAGCTATTTCGGTACTGTCCCGCCGATCTGCTGGGATATTGTGTGTGCGAATATGCGTTAAAATGTGAAAGTGTATGTATCCAACCAACCCCACAACTCAGTGACTGAATTGGGGGTTTGTTTTTTTTTTCTTGCTGCTCCCGCAGGATGTGTGTGAACATGAAAAATTCTTGCACTCTTCTTTTCCAAACTCACAAACACTGAGCAAATGGCAACGACGACAACATTGCAAGAACAAACTCAACTAAAATTTTTGAACTAAATCCATTATAAACTACACCAAAGCAAATTAGTTTGACCGAGGCTTTCAAGCTGAAAAATCTGTGCTACTACAACTACTACATGCTGGTCGAGAAAATATGTGTTTTTGTATATAAATATGTATGTGTGTAGATTTGTAAAAAGGATAATAAGCAAAAAATTGTATTAGACAGAAAAAAAAAACAAGTTAAACAATTGTTGTTACTTTGCAGCTTTGCAAAAGAAAACGGGACAAAAGTTTGGAGAAAAGCATACAAAAAAATAAAAAAAAAACATTTATTTTTCGTGTATTACAAACAAGGACTTTTTTATTAACTAGTAGCTGCCAGTTACATCAGTTGCCAATTGGAGCCTAATAAGAGAAAACCTTATAAGAGATGCTAAATAAATAGGCAAACAAAACTTTCTATTAAAAAAAAAACTCATCTCAGTGAAAAAAAGTGTAAAGTTTTAGAAAGTTTGCTGTTGTGTATGTGAATTTAATACCAAAAGAAAAAAAATCCAATAATTATGGAGACTTGTCGTACTTGTGCCAAATGTGATTTTGATAATGAAACCCAATGGTTTGATTTATTTAATGCTCCTCGTTGGCAACTTGAAACGGAACGCATACATTTGGTGTTAAGTACTTGGAAAATTAAGGTATTTATATTTATTATTTTCTTTGTAAATGGTCTAGGAATAGCTGTATTTTAATTTAACTATAACAGTGTTGTCAATAGTAGTGATTGGCGATTTAAATTTATCATTAATCATGAAAAAAGTAAAAATTACAAATATAGCCCATCTTGACCCTGCACTAAATATCAAACTCCCAGGAAAATAGTCTGATTGTACATAACCGACAATGCTTTATTCGAGCTTAATTTGGTATGAAATTACTATGATAGCCATCAATTTGATTCGAGTTCGATTTCCAAAATAGTTCCAAAAATTGCAGACCTAAACCTTCACGGTTCTAGAGCTTAAGTGAAGCAATCAAATCCTCCATAGTCGTATACATCTCATTAGTACTGGTCAGGAATACTTAGCATCCCTAAACAGAATGGCGAGACACTCAAAAGTCTTATTAGCGTAAGTTAGTTTAGAAGATAAACATATTTAGCAGAAAGAAAATCTGTAAATTGCTAAAGTTACCGAGAGTGAACATTTTGAGAAACAACCCATGCACAGTGGGAAATTTTTGTCGTTTTCTGATCATAAATCTGTAACTTTTTATCTGTTAGCGATAAATGAGTTAAATTTGACACCAATAATTTTGACAATATTTCTGATCATATATATTAATATGAGCTTCAAAAATTCAATGGTTGCTTGGTAATATATGTTTGAAATTGAATATTTTTATTGCAACAGTTTGAACACAACTTTTGTGGTAATATTTCTTTTCGAATGTAATGAATTAATGAACAATTGATATTATTAACTACTTATATGGGAATAAGTTTTATCTAAATATAAATTAATTGTGAATAAATAAAAACCTACCAATACTCAGCAAAAACTTATATTGAAAAGTAATGAGTTAAAAGCTAATAAATCCGCTTTTCACTACTTATTCAATATCACTTTAACTCATTATTTTAACACGGTCATGACATTGGAGGCGAGTACTTACCACGCTCTCTTACAAGTCACTACTTATATAAGTACTTATAAATAAAGAGATAAAAAGTTGTTTTGTTTTAAAAACACTAAAACACAGAATATGGGTCGGGCTTCTTGTTTTTTAGTTCGCTGTCTTAAAACACCAATGCTTAGTTATTTTATTGTGTCCAATATTGGTTTTCACAGAAAAGCTTTCTGCGTGTTGAAAAACTCAAAATAAAGTACTTAATTATATGACTATATGTAAGTCATTATTAGTATACTTAAAAGTAATGCAGGCTGTAAGTAGTAGTCATTAATAAGTAAGTCGTTATGTAAGTACAAGAATTACCGAGTTTTTGCTGGGTATGTATACTTTTTTAAATTTATTTCTCATTGAGATAATTGATATGTTCAGGTTCTTTAAAAAGCTTCAGTAGATATATCGTGATGTATGTCTTTTTTTTGATTTCAAAAAAGTTTTCCTGAGAGGGTAGGGTCAATTATCTACCGATCCTCTTAAAATTTTGTAGACAAATTTTGGCTCGTACAAATCTTGTTTAAGTTGAATTTTATAGCTGTACTCGTATTTAAGCCAGTAATGAGATGTAAAGTAATTTTTTTGTAGGAGACCTTATATGTGTGGTAGGGCCAGTTATGTCGTGATTTTCAGAAGGGGACTTTGTATGGGTCAATTATAGACCGATCTTTATAAAATTTTGTAGAGAAATTTTAATTTGTACAAATCTTGTTTAAGTCGAATTTCGTCGCTGTACTCCTATTTTTAAGCTAATAATGAGCGTTAAAGTCATTTTATAAAGGGGACTTTATATGGGGGGGTAGGATTAATTATGGCGTTATCCTCGTAAAATTTGGTAGAGAGATTTTGCTTCATATAAAACTTGTTTATGTGGAATTTCAAAGCTATACTGGTATTTCTAAACCAGTTATGACTGTTAAAACTGTTTTCCGGGACTGTAAGGGGACTATGAGAAAACGTGGACCGATATTGCACATTTGAATACGAAACAAACATTCTCCTGAATTGGCTTTATTAAATGGGACTAAAATACCATAGATAGCGATATATAAAATACAATATGTATTCAATTTTAAAAATAAATTTGTGAATTCTAAAGGATTTTTATTTCCCCTGACTGCAGCCGCAGACCGCCGCAAATAAAATTTGATAAAATTTTTAAATTTAATACACAATACATTAAGCTTTCATTTTATATTAATTTTAACGCGGAGGCAAGGGGAGCTTAAAACGTATACTCCACCAAAAACTTAATACTACATAAATAAAACATTAAATAGAAAATATGCAAATATTAAGAGCAGTTTATAATCTTTTTAAAGATTATGACTTAATAAATATCTAAACAAAATACTCTATCTAATGTTAATTAAAATATTTTCCGATAAATGCTATATCATCGAAAATAATGACCTTAAATATGGCTATTTTAAAGTACAAAAATATTGTATTTGAAATCCTTCACATTTGATCAATATTTTAGGATAGTTATGCCAGTTGGATTTTTCCAATATTTTTATACTATATTACACAATATCTTAGCTTTACTATGAATAAAAAATTATGTCAAAATTTAACATTTTATAAAAAGTATTTATGATCAGTTTCTATTCTACCATTTCCTACTGTGCCATGGTCCCAATGTTAAAAAAAAACCTATAACATACTGATAAATATTTAAATCATTACGGAATTTCTAATTCCATTCATTCAATCAATATTCGATAAGCCTCGTATTAGATGAGCCATTAAAAAAGAGTGGAAAAATGGATATGATATTACTGGATATACCAATGATATATTGAAATAATCAAATCCTCTACAGGCCTGTACATCTCATTAATACTGATCCAGGAATATTGGATATCCTTAAACAGAATGGCGAGACACTCAAAAGTCTTACTAGCATACGGGGATTCCACTTCTAACTATATTGCTGATGTACTGTCAAATGCAGGCGCCTTATTGTCAAACAGTGATCAGTATCTACTTTTGCGGAATTCCGCTGAATATATGTAAGTTTTATGTACTCTCAGAACAATGGAAAATAAACAGTTTTGTATTACAACTAGGAAGTTATGGTCAAAATTCCGAGAATTTCCACAGGATTCAAGACTTGAACATAGCAAAATACATTCGCTCATCTGATGACATGAATTTAGTAAAAGCTTCATGTAAATTCATGCTAGATGTGCCTTCCATTGGGATATAATTGGCTAACTTCTTGTTCATTGTCGAATACATTTCCCTAATTCCATGAGTTGGTGGTTAACGTGGTAGTTTACTACGCGCAAACTGTCACTGTAGAGTCGTAAAGAGTACGTTTTGACAAGATCAGTGAATACTAATATAGCATTAGATCCAGCCTACTGCAGTGAAATGTCTTCTTAATAGGTCATTGATTCTGGATACACATAATTAAGCAAGGTTTTGCATATAGATTAGCCAAGGAATATATTCCTCTTGACATCTAGAACAAGAAGTCAAAGTGCTTTACCTGAACACCAGCCGTATTTCACGGTGGTACTTTTTCAACCACAAGGTAAGCTGATTAGACGACTCACCACACTGTGGTTGTTACACGCCCCTTTGCTTATCTTCCAAGATACAAGAACATCACTTCCGTTTACAAACACGCAGATAGCCTCTGTTGACAACAGCACCTAGAGAAAGTAGACCGAATCACGAATCCATCAAATAAGCCGAGGACTTGTTGTTATTCACAGAGAACACACAGCGGTAAATCTGGTATTAATAGAGTAAGTCCTGAACATACCATACATTGGTATCACTTGTATAAGATACCTTTCATCCATCACTTCCCATTCATTCGATATACCCAAAGGGAGCAACATCCTACATCATCAATCTAGGTATACGGGTGTATATATTAGGGTGATCGATTATTCGACATTTTCCAAAAACCGATTTTCGAATAGTTCGAATAGTTGACATTTCAAAAAAACCGGTTGATATTTTTCAAATTCAGAAAAAACCGGTTAACCGGTTTTTCATAATAAATAAAAAAATATATGTTAATTTGAAGAAATTAATGTTTATGATTAAATTTGATTAATAAAACTTGGCCAGAAATGATTTTTAACAGTTTAACAGATTATAACTTTAGATCTAGTCGTCTGATTTACATTATTTCTTTAATATAAAAAAAATTAGGAAAAAAGTGGACACTTCTGTTAAACATAAGGTACTATGTAATCCTAGCTTATTCTAAAGCCCTTTTAGGAAATTTTCATAGGCATTCCAACACTTCCATAATATTTCAGCGGTAAATTAATTATTGTAATTGGAATATAATCTTAAGATTAATAAAATTTTATTAAACAGTTATCAATTTTACAAATAAAATTTTTTAATTAATTAGGAAAATCAAAAAAGTTTAACCAATGGTGCTTTAGAAAAATATATCCTAGTTCCTGGACTCGAATATTTTTAAATTTAAACGGGCTGTATTATTTACTTCAAAATTTCATTTAAATAATCTTTGAATACAAAGCAAATAAAAGTATTCGAAACCGGTTTTTAAAAAGTGAAAAAACCGGGTTATTCGATATTCGAAAAATCAACATTTAGAAAAAACCGACACTGGTAAAGCAGAAAAAACCGGTTTTAAAACCGGTTGAAAAATCGAGTCGATCACCCTAGTATATATATATTTCCAACTCTTAGTCCCAATGTCACTCCTCTGTGGGGTATCTGATGTCTCGGCAATGGCACCGAACATATCCCGACGGAAATTAACTACTTTCTCTTCCCGTTAATTTCCGTTTAAACCACAGTCACCACTTGCTTCCCAAAGGCTCCCCTCCACTAATCCGGACAAGACAAAGTCCGAAACTCTTACCTGCGTGCTACCGGTTGCCATGGTACCAGATTATGAGGTTTTCTGGTTCGATCTCATCTCAAATTATTCTAAAGAAAGACAGATTATACATTTGATCCAGTCCATATTTCCGGCAGGCTAGAGGTTACACCTCTTTACCCCGGGATTACAATAACTCCAAGATGAGGAACTATTATCAAGGTAACATGCCCCCGAGGGGTAACAGCTAACACAAGGCAATCGTAGAGAATTTGAAAGCCGTTTCCTCTTCATCGTTATCATTGCAACTGCGACAAAATTCCATGAAGGAGCTCCTAAGCCGACTCTAAAACTAGTTTGTAGTTAGTGATCTAGTTCGTTAGGAAAAGTAATGAACAACAGAGTTTAGCTATGATTTCATGCCGAACATCTTAAAGTAGGTGTTGTAGGTCGTCGTTGCTCTGTGATAGTCGTTCAGTTGCTGTGATAGTTTGCGGTCCTTGATAGTTTGCGGTTCTTGGAATTTCGCAGATCTTCGAGAACTTTTATAAGCTTATATCTCTGGTGTAAGTAAAAAGTGAAAAAAAACTTGCTTATTTATGGAGTAAAGATAACTTTAGCTTAAATATTACATTTAAAAGCTACAAATATTCCTCCCATCTTGTTTGTTCATGCAAAAAAGACTTTCTAGTCTAGGGTGTTCATTATACAAAATCACTACATTGACAACATTGTTGAACTAAAAATAACTGTTTTATTTACAATTCGATTGTATTAAGTATTTCAACATTTTGCCCACTACCACCCACCGTATATCTCTCTCTCTCCCCCCATATATTACAAAGATTTCGTGTAACGATGGTTTGCCACAAAAAATCTGCACCGATTGTTTTTCAAAATTTTGCACAGTCTCCTCATTTCGCCTACAATGCCTGGAGGCACAAACTATATTAAGCAATATATTCGATAAAATCGATACACAAAGTATACAGGATGAAGAAGTTTTCGAGGGATTCGCTAATGAACAGGATAATGATGTAAAAACAGCAACACAGCCGATAGGAGCAGTTGCAGCAGCAGCAGCTGCAGCGACATCAGCAGCAGAAGTACTAACAGTGCACTTAAAGTCAATTGAGCACACATTAGAGACAACAACTGAAAAGAGCATAACAAGCAGTAATAGTAGCAGCAATAACAAGAACAACAATAACAACAATGGTGAGTTTATATGAGTAGTGAAAAAAAAAAATAATAGAAATAAATCAAAAGGAAATGAGCGCAATAATACGAAAGGAAAACAAAACAACAACAACAAACATTAAAATTAAAAGTCCTTTTGTTTTGTTTTTATTGTAGAGGTAGGTCAGTGAACTTTTAGACCAAAAATAATCACACAAGCAAACAAAATTGGGAAAAAGATGAAATCCAGAGATGAAAGTATACTTTTCTAGAGGAACCCAAATCTGGTCTCAGAAATAGTACACTTTGGTCTCAGGTTGAAAAATTTGTAATTGTTTATATACATACGTAGTTGAATTTAAAATAATGTTAAAAACTTTAATAATTATACATTTTTTTGTTCAGAAAATATCTCCACATTAAGTGAAATCTTAAATCTAAATCCTAACGACAACACCGAGGTTTCATTTAGAACCATAACAAAATTATCAAACACTGCCGTTTTAGAAAACGAAAATATAAAACCAAATTTTTATCAGAGTGTAGTCGAAGAAGAAGACGAAGATATTAATAATAACACCAACTATAACAATAATATCAGCAATAATACTCCACATGAGGGAGAAGAAGATGTCTCTAGCAATAATCTTTCAACTAATTTAAATAATAACGAAACAACTATACTACCAGAAAATACCAACGATTTAGATGAAAATGATCTTATAGAAGAACTAATCGAAGAACTTGATATTATAGAAGAAATCACCGAAGAAGAACATCAAGCGGAAGTGGAAGAGGAGGAAGAGGAGCTGAATGATTTGGAAAATATACCAACTACTACAAATATCACTATGACCCTGGACCAAGAAGATGATGATCCTTTAGAGAACGATTTAAAAATAACCTTTGAATGTAAATACTGTTATAAATGGAAAAATAATGCTACGGAAAATTTTCTAACCCAGCAAGATCTATTGGCTCATATAACCAAACTACACAGTTCAGATCAACCCTATAATTGTCCCTATTGCCAGCAAATGTTTATGGATGCCGCTTCACGGACCACTCACCTAAAGGATGAACACAGTCAAAAGGTTTACGAATGTCAAACGTGTGGTAAAAAATATGCCGATAAATTTAATTTAAAAAATCATGTCGAAAAATATCACAGTGGTACCGATTTCGATTGTACCCTATGCGGTAAGAGTTTTTGTTCGAGTAAAAGTTTAAATTATCACATGAAATGGCACAATCCGGAAGAGCAATTAAAGTGTAGTTACTGTGATCGTTTGTTTATCAATCAGCGACATTTGAAGTGTCACGAGGAGACTCATACGGGCTATCGGAGTCAGGAGGTTTGTTCGTTTTGTGGGAAAAGTAAGTCGGGAGGGAGGAGGTAGTATAAAAATGCTGAAATATTGAAAATAATTGGACATTGGAGAAGACTAGACTATAGACTAGACTATAGACTAGACTATAGACTAAACTATAGACTAGACTATAGACTAGACTATAGACTAGACTATAGACTAGACCATAGACTAGACTATAGACTAGACTATAGACTAGACTATAGACTAGACTATAGGCTACACTATAGACTAGACTGTAGAGTAGAATATAGACTAGACTATAGAGTAGACTATAGGCTAGACTAAAGAGTAGACTATAGACTAGACTGTAGACTGGACTATAAACTAAACTATAGACTATAGACTAGACTATAGACTAGACTATAGACTAGACTATAGACTATACTATAGACTAGACTATAGACTAGACTATAGACTAGACTATAGACTAGACTATAGACTAGACTATAGACTAGACTATAGACTAGACTATAGACTAGACTATAGACTAGACTATAGACTAGACTATAGACTAGACTATAGACTAGACTATAGACTAGACTATAGACTAGACTGTAGACTAGACTAAAGACTAGACTATAGACAAGACTATAGATTAGAATAGAATAGACTAGACTAGACTTGACTATAGACTAGACTTGACCAGGCCAGACCAGACCAGACCAGACCAGACCAGACCAGACCATACCATACCAGACCAGAGAAGACTAGACTATAGACTAGACTACAGACTAGACTGTAGACTAGACTATTTCGATATATTTGGGAGAAAAATCATGTTTAGAATAAACTTTCAGAATAAACTCTGCAAAGTGGTGTAGGCAACTTCAAGACAATCAGTTCGGGCAAATGAACTAAAAATTATACTATGAATTAACTACTAAGAACTTGAAATTCGACTCCGATTTTAAAATGTATTGTGTTTTAATTCAGCGTTAAGAATATTTCATCGATCTTTAATTATTTTCAATATTTTAGCAAATTATGTAAAGATTTTAGTAAAAGAATTACAACTATGTGTAACGATTATTATTCTTCTTAAGATTTCTTTCATTTGAAAACACTTAGATGGCATATCTATCGACAACATGGTGGTGAAAAGCCCTACAAATGTGCCCGATGTACAGAAGGTAAGGATTCCAACATTAATCAAGACATTCACTTTTTGCTCAGCATATTAGAAATTTTCATGGCAGAGAAGTTTTCTTAAAATAAACTCTCATATGCTGAGATGTTTACTAAAAAAAACTCTCTCTTAAATTGATCTACTCTTCCTTCAATTCCATTTCCAGTTTTCACATCATATTTCGAAAAACGTCTACACATGCTCGAATATCATTTGGATAATCTTACGTTGATCGAAAAAACCGAATGTATGCTGTGTCACAAACGTTACGATCACGAACAGGAACTAAAGGATCATATGATGGAAGATCACAAGGAAAATAAGGGAGCCGTTAAAATCTCCAATAATAAACGTGTTATAATGAATAAGAAACCAAAAAGCTTTACGGGTATATTTCAATGTGAAAAATGTGATAAACGTTTCAATATGAAATCAGCTTTAGAAAGACACATGGCTGTGCACTCCACGGAGGGACGGTAATTTAAAGAGAATAGATAATATAAAATAATTTAAGTGTGTGTTTGTGTTTTTCCCCCTAAACTATATAGACCTCATGCCTGCCCGCAATGTCCTAAACGCTTTAAGCGTTCGCAAGATATGAAGTGGCATTTGAAAACACATTCCTCCGAAAAGCCCAATATCTGTGATGTGTGCGGCAAGGGTTTCGCTTTGAAATATGTCTTAACGCAACATCGTCGAAGTCATGAAGGTATTTGTTTGGAGTTTATATTGATTGCAATTGATATTTTAAAGTGTTTTTTTTTTTCAAATAGTTTTAGAAAAGAACTTTACTTGCACCACCTGCGGCCGATCATATCTCTTCGAAAAGTCTTTGCGTTTACACGAACGTATACACAGTGGTAAAACCTATTACAAATGTGATTTATGCAGTGAAAGTTTTGTTACACATATTAAGTTTAAATGTAAGTATGTGTTTCTCTAATAGAAATCGATTACAGGTTCTAGGAAAAGTTCTAGTCTATAAACTAGACTATAGATTAGACTATAAACTAGACTACAGACTAGACTATAGACTAGACTATAGACTAGACTACAGACTAGACTATAGACTAGACTATAGACTAGACTATAGACTAGACTATAGACTAGACTATAGACTAGACTATAGACTAGACTATAGACTAGACTATAGACTAGACTATAGACTAGACTATAGACTAGACTAGACTATAGACTAGACTATAGACTAGACTAGACTATAGACTAGACTATAGACTAGACTATAGACTAGACTATAGACTAGACTATAGACTAGAGACTATAGACTAGACTATAGACTAAACTATAGACTAAACTATAGACTAGACTATGGACTAGACTATAGACTAGACTATAGACTAGACTATAGACTAGACTATGGACTAGACTATGGACTAGACTAGATAGACTATAGACTAGACTATAGACTAGACTATAGACTAGACTATAGACTAGACTATGGACTAGATAGACTAGACTATAGACTAGACTATAGACTAGACTATAGACTAGACTATAGACTAGACTATAGACTAGACTATAGACTAGACTATAGACTAGACTATAGACTAGACTATAGACTAGACTATAGACTAGACTATAGACTAGACTATAGACTAGACTATAGACTAGACTATAGACTAGACTATAGACTAGACTATAGACTAGACTATAGACTAGACTATAGACTAGACTATAGACTAGACTATAGACTAGACTATAGACTAGACTATAGACTAGACTATAGACTAGACTATAGACTAGACTATAGACTAGACTATAGACTAGACTATAGACTAGACTATAGACTAGACTATAGACTAGACTATAGACTAGACTATAGACTAGACTATAGACTAGACTATAGACTAGACTATAGACTAGACTATAGACTAGACTATAGACTAGACTATAGACTAGACTATAGACTAGACTATAGACTAGACTATAGACTAGACTATAGACTAGACTATAGACTAGACTATAGACTAGACTATAGACTAGACTATAGACTAGACTATAGACTAGACTATAGACTAGACTATAGACTAGACTATAGACTAGACTATAGACTAGACTATAGACTAGACTAGACTATAGACTAGACTATAGACTAGACTATAGACTAGACTATAGACTAGACTATAGACTAGACTATAGACTAGACTATAGACTAGACTATAGACTAGACTATAGACTAGACTATAGACTAGACTATAGACTAGACTATAGACTAGACTATAGACTAGACTATAGACTAGACTATAGACTAGACTATAGACTAGACTATAGACTATAGACTAGACTATAGACTAGACTATAGACTAGACTATAGACTAGACTATAGACTAGACTATAGACTAGACTATAGACTAGACTATAGACTAGACTATAGACTAGACTATAGACTAGACTATAGACTAGACTATAGACTAGACTATAGACTAGACTATAGACTAGACTATAGACTAGACTATAGACTAGACGATAGACTATAGACTAGACTATAGACTAGACTATAGACTAGACTATAGACTAGACTATAGACTATACTATAGACTAGACTATAGACTAGACTAGACCAGAGTATAGATTGGACCAGAATATAGATTATAGATTAGAATACATGTAGTTACTTCGATTGTAAGGATGATGTTTTTCAATCTTGATCAACGATTCATAGGAAAATTATGTCCGTTCCTTTAAAAAATTACCTGTCCAAGGATTTCTATATAGAAATAAAGAAATTTTTTAATCTTCCAGGGCATATGAAAAAAATGCACGACGAGGAAGAAGTGGCTGCTGCTACTAATTTAAATCCTAATAATAAAAATAAAACTAACATTGAGCTGCCATTGGACGATTTGGTCAATATTGTGATTACTTAGCAATAAATTTTATACTTTTAAGACAATATTATACAACAATTGAAACGAAAGAAATACTTTATAAAAAGATAAACATTTCACAAATTGCACAAAATATTAAAAATTTTAACTTTAAACTGCACTTATTGACCAGTAGTTATGATTTTAAACATTAGAAAGTTTAAAAACACACAAAATATTTAACTAAAAATTAAATAAGCTCAAATACCAAAATATATTTATTAAAAAAATTGCATTTATTTTGAAATGTTTTAAATTCAAAAAAAGACATATGTTTAGAGATTTATTATAAAAGCCTTTAAAAAGGTTTTAAGCCAAAAAAATTAAACATTTTAACAAAATTAATTAACTAAGTAGAAAGTCACTCATACACACACAAATTAAATGCCTTTAAATTAAGTCCATTTATTAGAAGAAAAAGAAAAGCAACAAAAAAAAATAGTGAAACCATTTTACTTTAATAATTGTTAAGTTGAATATTTTAATAATTAAATAATATTTACTATTACTATATTAATTTAAATGAAAATACTTTTTCCTGCGGAAAATCTATATTAGAAACCATATATATCCTCAAAAGTTTTTTAATAACTTTATTTAATTTGTTATAGTTATATATGTAAGAATATATCATTTATCCTAAAATATTGTAAACTCTTATAATGGTTATTTAAATTTTTTTAAATTTTATATTTTTTTAAATATAACAAGTTTTTAATAAGCTCAATATTTTGTTGAATCTTTCAAACTATTAATAATAAAACAAAATTAATAAAAAATTAGTATACTTATGTTTTACTAGCGTGTCCGGAGTGCTTCGCTGCACCTATTGAAATTAATTAAGGGTGGGTTCCTAGTCTAAAGTCTAGTCTATTGCTAAATTTATACTACATTCTATGGTCTAGCCTGTAGTTTAGTTTATAGTATATTCTATAGGATTGTGTAATGGCTAGTCTGTAGTCAATTCTATAACTTATCCTATAGTCTAACCTAATATAGTTTATAGCCTACTTTATAGTCTAGTCTATTGTGTAGCCTGTAGTCTAGTTTATAGTCTATTCAATTGTCTAGTCCATAATTTCTAGTCTATGCCTACAGTCTAGCCTATAATGTAGTCTAGTTCATAGTCAAATGTATAGTCTATAGTCTAATTTAAAGTCTAGTCTATTGTATAGTCCAGTCTATAGTCTAGTTTATAGTCAATTTTAAAATCTAATCTATAGTCTGTTCTTCGTATTAAGTTTTGCAAAAACCTAAAACTGATTGTTTCTAGAGATTTTTATAACAAGATTTGACGGCAAATGATGAAAAAGTATTTAATGTTCATTGTTTTTATTTCAATTAACATTAATACTTATTCAAATCATAAAATAATGTAAAATTTGTTAAATTAAATAAATATTTCTAAATTTCTTTTTATTCTATTGCCTACTAAACACATCTCCCAACTTAACGGTTTTTGCCAGCAAAATACAACCCTGGCTTTAAAATAACACACAACTGTCAAATGTTTTGTTCTGTTTCAACCAAAAACAAAATTGACCAATCAGAAAAAACCACATACTAAATACAACTCTGTAGAATAAAAGACGATAGCAAACGATAGAACACACGTCAGTGTTTTGAAAATTAAGAAAATGAAGAAATCATAAAAAGCAAACTATTTTCGGCAATAGAGTTTTTTTCGTTGCATTATTAATTAATATATCCTACAGTGCACATTAATATAAATAATAAAAATACAAAAACCACTTTAAATTCTAAAAAACAAAAGAATAAAAACAAAGAAATTTTTTAAACAACAATCAAATTACACAAAATTTTGTAAATACTTTAAAGGTGTGAGAAGAAAAAAAAAAGCAAGAAAATTAGAACAGGGAGGAGGAATAGCAACAAAAATTTAGTGATAAAAAAGTAATAGAAAGTTAAAAGTTTTTTTTTGCTGCCCTGCCACGCTAACACAAACGCACAACAAAACGAAATCTGTGGTGGACTCAAGGAATTTCTAGAATTTAACAATTTATTTTATTAATTGTTCATTAATGTTAAATTGTTTATAAAAATCAGCTGTATGAAACCATGGTAGTGTCATTGCCGGATTTAATGCTCCTGGGGGGCGAAAAGAAATTGACTGCCTGTTTGTTGTTGCTAATATTGGAACTATTTTTAGAAGGTCAGTGATCTATGTTTTAGTTACTTATTTACTAAAAGCAAAATAAATATTTTGAATTATAATAATATTATGCATGAAGCACAAACATCATGACCTTGAACTTTATTATTAGTTTTTTTCTATAATAATTAAAATAACAAGATAATTTGAAGTAATATGTTTAATATTTGTCATGCTACAGTTGATTTTGTTTAATTAGCACTTTGCTGTTATTATTGCCATACGATTTCTTTAAATATTTACTTTATTTTCTTTGTTTTTGAAAACAGGTGCCGAATCAGTGCCTAACGCAGCCGATATAGAAAACCATTTAGAATTGGGTAAACAATTTTTAGCACACAATCAATTAAGTGATGCTTTGACCCATTACCATGCCGCTGTGGGTAAGTTTGTTTACTTAACATTTTGCATTTAGTTTTTACATCCATAATTTACTATTTATGTTTCATTTTAGAGGGTGATCCCACCAACTATTTGACTTTGTTCAAACGTGGTACTGTTTATTTGGCTTTGGGCAAGACTCGTTTTGCTATACAGGACTTTAGTCGGGTTTTGGAATTGAAACCTGATTTCACAGCAGCTCGTTTACAGCGTGGTACTGTTTTTATGAAAACAGGCGAATATCATCAAGCTGCCGAGGACTTTGCCGCTGTGGTAAGTTTCCCTTTCTTGCTACTTATAATATTAAACTTTTTATGGGGGGGGGGGGGCGTAAGGTTAAAAATCTTTATCAATAATATGAAATTGTTTAATAAACAAAACACTTATTGTCTGAAGCACCAATTTTTAGAGAACTTAATACATATTAACAGAGTTTTAAAGAAATTTCTAGAAATGTTTTATTTATGTCTAAATGTCTACGCTATTCTAAAGTGTAGTCTATAGTCCCAAATATAGTCTTGTCTTTTAATGAAAAAACTTTTATGAAATTATTAATTTTTCTAATTCCAGCTCGAAGAAGAACCCTACAATGAAGTTGCCCACGACAGTTACTCGCGCATTTTACCGGCCGAAGAACAATGGGATATTGTACAGGAACTTATTGACCGCGGTGATCATCGTAATGCCATACAAATGCTAACACAACTACTCGAAATATCACCATGGTCGGTGACATTCCGTCAAGCACGTGCCGATGCCTATATTGAAACCAATGATCTCTTAGCAGCCATTTCAGATTTAAGATCGGTAAACAAACTATCACAAGACAGTACAGAGGGCTACTATCACCTGGCTTTGCTGTTGTATAAAATTGGTCATGCTACCAGTGCATTGAAAGAAATCAGAGAATGTTTGAAATTTGATCCAGAACACAAAGACTGTTTCCCCTTCTATAAGAAGTTGAGAAAAGTGGAGAAGGGTTTGTCGGGTGCAGAGACAGCACGTGATGAAAAACAATATCAAGACTGTATAACATCTGCGGAAGCAGCATTGAAACATGAAAAAGAAGAAACCATGGTGATATACGAGGCTAAACGTTTATTGTGCACATGTTATATGCGCGACGAACAATATGCCAAATCATTGGGTCACTGCAATGATGCTTTAGAGATTTTGCGTGATGCTCAAATTTACTGTGATCGTGCCGAGGCTTATCTCGGCTCTGAAATGTATGATGATGCCATACATGACTTCCAAGAGGCCTTGGGTCTTGATGAAAACCTACAAAGAGCCAAAGAGGGCATGGAGAAAGCTAAAAGACTGCAAAAACAGGCGGAACGCAGAGATTACTATAAGATCTTGGGTGTTAAACGTAATGCCAGCAAACAGGAAATTGTCAAAGCCTATCGTAAGGCAGCACAAAAATGGCATCCCGACAACTTTAAGGGTGATGAAAAGAAAATTGCCGAAAAGAAATTCATTGACATAGCCGCCGCCAAAGAAGTGCTAACAGATCCCGAAAAACGTAGACAATTCGACAGTGGCCAGGATCCTTTAGATCCTGAAGGCCAACAAGGTGGTCATGGTTTCCGTGGTGGCAGTCCCTTCCAACACTTCCATCACGGGTCACCGTTCCAGTTTAAGTTCCATTTTAACTAACATACACTTGCAGAGATAATTAAAGGCATCTTAAGCTTAATTTGTAGTCAAGTTTGTTTAAATTCTAAGTTAATTCATTATAGTCATGTAGGTAAAATTCTTAATTCTTTTTTCTAAAAAAACAAAACCAACAACACTAAAACTAAAACAAAACTAAAATAGTAAACAAAACTCTGGGAGTTTATATTTGGTAAATTTACAAAAGGACCTTTTCTTTGAAAAAAAAAACTTTTAACAAACAAAAAATGTTAAGCATTTATTACCGTAACAGTTTGGCTTTATCTTCATTTTTTCTATAAAGAACTGTGTATAGTTGTAGTTTTTAAAATGTTAATTAACTAAATGCTCTTCTTGCTGTCTAAATAGTTTGAAGGTTTTTAATTTATCCTATTTTTTTCTTCGTTATAAAACCTCCATTTGCCATCAATCATATCAACAAGTTTTCCTTTTAGTTTATTTTTTTTTTCTTTCTTTCAATCTTGTAATTTTGTTTGTTTTTGTTTTCTTTTCTTTTGTAAATAGTAGGTTATTTTTAATAAAAATATATGAAAAAAAAAACTAATTTATTAATATAAAATTGAATAACAAGTTCAGCCTTTTTTGTGTTTTTGTATCCTGAATAAATAATAAAAAAAAAAAACAAAATTAAAAACTAGACTCTTGATAAGTGGCGATCATTATTAACAATAACAACAACAAAAAAGAATAATAAAAGAAACGAAAAATACGAAATTATTAAAAGTATGTAGTTTTATGGTTTTTTATATTTTATGTTAAAAAAACGTTTACCAAAGAGATTTTTAGGCAAAATGTGTTATCGAGAATTCAAAAAAAGCTTTTTTAAGACAATTGAAAAAGATTTTTGCAAAAAAGCTCTTATGAAAAAAATGTTTTTCCAATAATCTTTTGTTCTCTTTTTGAAAAGTGAATGATGTGCGAAAAAGCTTATGAATATGGCTTTTATATTGAAAGCTTTTATAAAAAAAACTTTTATACATTTTTTTGTAAAAGCTTTTATGAAAAAGTTTTTTAAAAAAACATGCAAAAGTTTTGTATAAAAGCTTTTATGAAAAAGTTTAATTTAAAAGCTCTTATGAAAAAGTTTTTTTGTAAAAGTTATTTCTTTTCAAAAACTTTATTAAAAAAATATTTTGAAAACGCTTTTTATAATAACATTAAAAAAAACCGTTTTATTAAGCTTTTTAGAAAATACTTATATAGACAAGCTTTTTCTAAAAATGAAATTTATTAACAAAAAACAACAAACACCTTTTAACGAAAAAAAGCTTTTAGAAAAAATCTTTATGATGAAAAAAATCCATTTTTTATGTTATGAAAAAAGCTTTTGTGAAAAGTGTTTTATAAAAAAACAATTTTAATGAAAACAATAACAAATAAACATTTTATGAGAAAGATTTTTGTAAAAACATTTTTTTATAAAATTGGTTAAAGTGATAAAAGCTTTAATGAAAATTATTTTAATTGAAAAAAAAATCATTTATGAAAGAGCTTTTTAGAGCTTTTAGTTTTTACGAAAAATTGTATGAAAGAAACTTTTTTGAAAAAGCTTCTTATGAAAGAAACTTTTTTGAAAAAGCTTCTTATGAAAGAAACTTTTTTGAAAAAGCTTCTTATGAAAGAAACTTTTTTGAAAAAGCTTTTTATGAAAAATTTATCAAAAAGCATATAATGGAAAAAGCTTTTATATATTTAATAAAACTTTGTAATAGAGAACTTTTTATGACAACGTTTTAATATAGCTTTTTATAAAAAAGCTTTTCTAAAAATCTTTTAATATTTTTTTATCAAAACAACAATTTCCTTTAGATTTTATTTTTATCTTTTTATTTAGTTTTTTTCTTTAAATTATAATTTTGAAATTCTTATTTTGTTTAACATTTCTTATATAAAAAAGCATCACTGAAAAAAATACTTAAAACATAAACATTTTAGTTGATTTTTTTAAAAATACACACAAAAGCAAAAATATTACAAATCGACAAGAAAATTAGCAAAAAAAAATTAAACCAAAATTTTCAAAAATACAGTAAAAAACAAAACTCTTGTGAAATATGTATGAGATTATGAAATACTTAAAAAAATAGTCTTTAAATTCACAAAAATACGTAAAAGACATAAATTAAACACTTTGTATAAAGAAAACATAAATGAAAACGGCCAATATAAATATAGAGATTAAGATTAAAGAGTGTTTCAAATGATATTTCTCCTCCATGGCCAAAATGAATTGGCGAAATGCCGAGTCCTCTGGCTGATGGGTAGATTTCAGGGTACGCCTGGGATTAATGTTGCTGGAGGGGGTGCCTATAGTGCGTCGTGAGTAGGCATTATCACGATTGCGTAGAGATGATTTGGGTGGTGATAGTTTGGTGGGTCCCATGGTTTGACGTAAAGGGGTGGCCTTAAGAGTTTCCAAATTACGAGCAAATTGACTGAGAAAAGGTGTTTCTAGCTCCTTAACGGGTGATTCTTCTACCAAAACAACTTCTTCTTCTTCCTCGTCCTCATAGTCTTCGTCATCATCTTGTAGTTCAGCTTCATAGGACTGAGCATATTGTGACCCTATAGAGGGTTTATTGTAAACATTGGAGGGTGGTATATAACTTTTGCGTACATTAGTCGAAGACAAATAATTAGTGTGTTTTTTATTGTAGCTATAGGAATCCATAGAACTATAACGTGTACTGGAACTGAGACTTGCAGCCAAAGGTGCAGTGGTAGTGACCTTGGGTTCGGACACTGGCACATAGCTGAGTTTGGGAGCACTGCTCACCACGGTTTTCTTAACCGGCTCTTCTTGTACTACAAAATCCTCCTCCTCCACCAAATCAATTTCCTCTGGCTCTACATAAGTCTTATTAATTGGTGTAGTCTCCTGCACATAAGAAGTGGTAACAACACCCGTTTTACTTAAGTGTTGCGGCTTAGGCGAGGGCTCTTTAGCCGGCAATTTTGGATAAAGATTGGCAGCTGGCTTTTCTGGTGTCTTAGTTTTAGCTCTTATAGGTTCCAGCTCTACCCTATCAGGGGAAACATCTGAATATTCTGGTTCACTAACCGTGGTAGTGGTGGTAACATGTCTTTCGGTAGCCGCTATAGTGCGTCGTGAAGGTCTACTGGCTGCAGCCGCTGGTTTTGTTGTCGCATTATTATTATTAATAGTTATTTTGGGTGATGACGCCACTTCGGATGGTTTGGAAACATGCATTGTTTCTCGACGATTCGTTTTAGCCGGCGTGGTGGCAATTGGTTTGCCCGACATTACCGCCTCTAGACGTCTGATAAGAATTTTGCGACTCGAATCGGTCACTGGCACATTGGGCATGCCAAATTCAATGCATTTTTGTCTTAATTCTTTGTTGCTGAGTGCTTCCAATTCCGCCATTGTGAAATTTTTTGCAAAAGTTTTTAATTGTTTGACAAAATTTGAACGGTAGTAGTTATTTAAGTTATTTTTCACATAAACACTTTTTCAGAACATAAAACATACGTCACACTATTTTTATATATTTTTTCTACAAGAATTTCTGGTTTTATACGTTGTTTTTTCAATGCAAGCAACTGGAATGAATTTCAAAAATTTTGGCAACAAAAAATGTAAGCGAATAAACACAGAGTTGTATGGGTGAGAGAGCGAAAGAGCAATAATCATATAATAGAGATGCCATATTGGTAAAAGTAATCATGTATGTTTACACGACAAATATTTATTTGTTGATTGACAGCTTAATATAAATATACAGTTTTAAACGGTTATGAACACAATGAGTACGTTTACTTCATGCGTTATTTAAGTTAATATCAGATGACAGTAATTTTTTTTATTGTTTTATTATTATTTAGTTATTTTTTGTTGTTTTTCAAACATAAATTCGAAAAATATATTTTCTTTGAATAATATTTAGTATCTAGTATATGAATTTATAGAATTTCATAATAAAGCTTTGTTAGAAGTTTATAATATTTTTAAGAAGATAGCTTAACTTGTGAAAATCTTTATTAGAAAACTTTTTGTTGAAAGACTTTCTAGAAACTTTTTCTTCAAAGATTTCCTTTATAAAAGCTTTTTATTGAAAATATGTCTTTGTAGAAGATTTTTATTAAAAAAAGTTCTTTTAGGAAGCTTTTTATTAAACATGAGAAGGGTTTATTGTATTTTATTGAAAATCAGTATTTGTGGTGGTAATAAGAATATTTTTTTTTAAATAAACAAAAATCCAATAAGAAAAAACTTTAATAAAAAAATACTTTTTATTTTTTCTAAAAGATGTTATATCCTATATATAACTTATACTATTAATATTAATTAACGATTTTATTTAAATTAAATTTGTAATAATTGAAATTTTTTAAATAATAAAATAAATTTCCATGTAAATCAACTGGTTGTTTTCTTTTTTCCATATTACTTTTAAACAACCCTGTTTTAGTGAAACATCAACTATTTTTGTCACTTGAGGGCGCTACGTTCACTATGTTCACTGTCAAATTTATGAAATGACATTTCTGTCATGCCTTCTCTCTTTCGCCATTTGTCAAGTTTCCGGTACGTACGCGATTTTTGTGAATTTCTATAAAAAATAATAAAAATATGCTAAATAATGCTTTAAATTTAACTAAATTAATAATGCAAACCATAATTTATGCTACCAACTATTGTAATTAATTAATTTAAAGTGTTTATTAGAGAAAATATGGCAGATGTTTGAAGATAAAAATAATAGTAACTTATAAAAAGAATATGTTGTGAATAAGAATTAAAATAAAGATAAAGAAAAATTAAAGCAATGTTTACATATTTAAGTGTTATGTTTAAAAAAATTACTAGCGCTAGTTGATGAATACTTTGGTTAGAAGAAATTAATAATGGATTATTTTTGTTGTGTTTTGTTTAGTTAACTATGGCTGACACACAAGCTGCCCCTGCTGCTGCTGCCGCCAAGGCACCCAAGGCTAAAGCCACCAAAGCCGTTAAGGCTGCCAAGACCGAAAAGGCTGCTGATGTTAAATCCGCTGCCAAATACAAGCGTCATGGTCGTTTGTTTGCCAAGGCTGTATTCACTGGCTACAAACGTGGTTTGAGAAATCAACACGAAAACCAAGCTATCTTGAAGGTAAATATTGGGAATGTTTTTTAGGAATGTGGTTGAAAATAAAATATTAAATTTTCGTTTTTTTGTGTTTAATAGATTGAAGGTGCCCGCAGAAAGGAACACGGTCAATTCTACATTGGCAAACGTTGTGTTTATGTTTACAAAGCTGAAACCAAGAAGTGTGTACCACAACATCCAGAACGCAAGACCCGCGTCCGTGCTGTTTGGGGTAAAGTAACTCGCTTGCATGGCAACAGCGGTTGTGTACGTGCTCGTTTCAACAGAAATTTACCTGGTCACGCTATGGGTCACCGTATTCGCATTGTAAGTATATAAGTTTTAAAGGATAAGGACTAAAATTTGCTTTTAATCCAAGGAATGTTAATAGTGCTAGTTAAATTCAAAACATGTGGATTTCTTATCAGATTGCAAGTCAAATTGGACTTCGAAATCTTTAAAATTGTTCAATTTCATTTGAAATTCCTTTAAAATGCTTATAATGAAAGTGTTTCTTCGAAAAAATTGCCAAGGACAGTTCAATGAGACCAATACCGTTGTTTTTAAAGTTAAGAAACTGAAATTTAACTTTCCTGATTTTTGTTTTTATTAAATAATGAACAGCTGATTGATAAAAACATGTAACGGCACATGTCTTGAGAATTCAACTATTCTGTTTACATTTTTAACAAAGTGATACACATCCTCATATTTCCTATACTAAACATTCTGAATTTTTAAATTTTTTTATCATTTTTATTTTTTTTTTTTTTTTTTATAAAAACTGTTTTTTTTTTAACAAGAATTTTGAGAATTTTTGTAGACATTTCTATTTTCTAAACTATTTCTGAATAATTTAATAATTTTTGGAATCGATTTTTTAAGAAAATCTGAAAGTTTTTTGTGTTTTCCTTGGAAGTTATTAAATACATACTTTCAAATTTTGTTATTTTTTAATAAATTTTTAATTAATTTATGTTTTTTTTCTTTGCAGATGTTGTACCCATCCAGAATTTAAGTTGTTTTATAACTTATTTTTGACCTTAATGTAAAGAAGAAAAAAACCCAACTTTTTTTAAACTAATAAAACAACAAATTTAAATCCCATTACGTTTAAAAACAAGTGTTATTTATTTTAGCGATAATATACAAACTTTTATTATTACAAGCTACTGTTTGGTAAAGAATTAAAAAAAAATATATCAAAGTACTTGGTAAATTTTATATCATATTTCAAAACTGTCAGTTAAATAGTTCATATTTACAAGTGACATTAATATATCAAATTTAACGGCAACACTTCCAAAATGTGATGCACTCCCAAAGTTAATGTTGCATTCTTTTTGTAATAAATTTTTCAAAAATGTCATTCCCACTTGAAATTTTGCATCTTTAAATATCTTGGAAACAGTGTTATGGCAATAACTACAGTTTGGCCTTTGCTCTGGCAATGCTGCTGCTTTAAGAAAGTTGGCAACGTTAAGTGTTTACTGTTAGAAAACCTCTTCACAATGGCTTAAATTTTACTAAAAAACATTCATATATTGGAAAAGAAAAATATTTTTGAAACTATTGTACGGATGTTCTTTTTTGGGAAAATTTCATTAAATGTTTTCAACGAGTTAATAAAATATAGGTTTGTTTGAATACATTTCTAGTAAAAGTAGTAAAACAAGAGAAAAGTAAAAAATATTCTATTATAGAACAGGTCGTTTTTAAAAACTTGTTTTGCGAATTAATTAGATAACGTTTTCATCAAAATTAGATGTTTGTGTGTCTCCGGTAGATAAGAGAGTGTGCAATAGGGCCGAAGATTGATACCGTTTGGCAACATTAGTATTATGTATTTCGAATTGTCGTTCCGTCATTAAAATCACAACATTCAAAAATGCAGGTACGATCGTAATGCAGAATACATACAAACCTAAAACATTGAAATTGAATTGCTTCTTTTTTTCTTACGATTCCGTTTTGTTTCTTGGAATGCATTTTTTCAATAGTACCGTAACTGAATGAGGAAAGGTAATTGAAATTCAGAATAGGGGTAAATATAAAAAATGAATACTTTATTGCGATTTTCAGCATGATAATGAACCAAAACCTTTGGCAAAGCTGATCTAAGAGTAGTTAGTTATCTTGTAAAAGGATCCAAATTCTATGATTGCTCATCAAAATCTCCTGACTCAAATCTCTTAAAAAAGCTGTTCGGCGTTCTGAAGCGTTGGGTCGAAACTTGCAGTTTTATAAAACATTGCAGCTGGCGAATGGCTTAAAATCCGATTGGGATTTGTTGCGAATGTAAATAATCTATTCCATAAAGGTTTGAAAGTCAAAAGGGCCAAAGATTTTCATAAGATCAAAAAGTTGCTTAAGTTTCGAACATCTATTTATCGAGTAAATTCAGTTATTATTTTCATGTAACTCACAGCTAAATGGAATTAAACTTTTGCTGTTGTTATTATAATGTAGACACATAATATTATTGAAATCAATTAAAATAGAAAATATAGCACTTTGTATACAATGGCAAAAATAGTTCCTTAGGTTTCGAACAATACTGTACATCCGAAAATATGAATGTTTTTTTTTTAACTTAACGGATTCCTGATTTAGTAGCGACAGGTTATTGAATAATGTAAAGTGGTGCCATTTGCACCCTTTCTAGAACAAGTTTTCTATAGTCTAGTCTATAGTCTAGCTTATAGTGTAGTCTATGGTATATTCTATAGTCCAGTCTATAGTTTCTAGTTTATAGTCTGGTCTGCAGTCTGTACTATAGCCTAGTCTATGGTTCGTACTATAGTCCACTCCGTAGTATTGCATACTGTTTAGTCTATTCCATTGACAAATGTCTTTTCTATTGTTTAGATTATGTATTGGTCACATTTAACTAAGAATCTACAATAGATTGCCCACATATTTTGGTCTATACTGTTCTGCATTCCCTTTTCCTAAAGCAATGTCTTCAAACGTCAAATTTCACTTTCATTACATTAAAACAAATCTCACTTGGAAATTAAATTAAAATATTTGAAATCAATAGACTGCTCTGACTGAATATACTTTTGTCCATATTTAAAATTATTTCTTAAATAAGAAAGTCTATTATTTTCCATTATTCAACGAACTATTTCAAAACTTTTCTGAATGTTGATGTATGATTTGAAATCGATTGCAGTTTATGGAAAATCATTAATGATGATTTTAGAAATGTATTTATTATTTTCTTTTTGATAAAAAAAAAAACAATTTAAAACAAAAGATATTGTTTTCTTTTCTTCTCATCTCTTAAATTATTTAAATAATATCCATTTAATACGACTGTAACTGATTTAATATTCTCAACAAAAACAAAAAATTTTGAGTTGTGACGTTTTTTTTATTAAGTGGTCATCATCTATTGTTTTATCACACTGGCAATACTAAACGTCACACATCTGGCAATACTATATCTAATAGAAAGTTGGCAACTTGACGAATATACAGTTAGAAAGCGGCATCATTGATGTAAACAAATCATAAATTTTGTGAAAACGTGAAAAAAGTAAATTTCTTAGAAATAGTGAAGTTTTTTTTTTAATTAAATAACAATTAGTGTAATTCAAACATAGTAACATAGTTTATTTATTAAATTACAATTGCGTTGACAGTACTTACAGCAAAAAACAAATTTACAAATACAACCAAAAGAAAATAAAGTAGAAGCGCAAATGTGACAAAGTAGTGTGAAGAAAATCAAAGTGTTTTTAAGTTTTAATAATATTCAGCATTATTAAACATCAATTAAGGATAATTAAAAGGTAAGTTTATTTTATATATTAAACATTTTAATAATTTGTTTAAACTTTGATTTGCAATTTGCACACTTAAATCGGCCGCCAAGTAATGCCTACTTTCCTTTGGTAACTATTGACAAACTACATATTTTCTTTTTAGGAACAAATTCTATATAATTCCTTAAAGGAGTTAGAAACGCCTTAATAATTTCTATAATTTTAACAACGACCATTAACAACTTCTGTAAAAGTTAAAGGCTTTTCTTTGGGTAGCCTAGCTATGTTATAATTATGTTTTTTTTTTATTATTAACCGGCTGCTTCCTTCCTCTCTCACCGACCAGTTTTTTCCATTGCTATTGTTATAAACCATATATGAAATTTGAAAGGTAAATTCTTATAAGAAAAAAAAAAGCAGAACAATATCTCAAACATTTGTTAGTCATATTTTTCCCACAATCCAAACAAGTTTGTTATGTGTTGTTTTTTATTTATAACCAACAAAACTATATTGCTGAAGTTTTTTTGAAGTTATTTTTCATTCTTTTGCAACGATAAACTAACATACATGATACTTGTTAGGTTTCCTTTATGTCTACGACCAACAAACAACACACACTGCTTGCTGCCAATAACAAAACAGCACAAACTATTACCATCATTATCATCTTGAAGAGCAGCATCATCCTGTGTTAAATACCAACGTAGATTGTTAAAAGTAATGCCTGTTGGTTGGTATAGTGTTCTGTTTATGTTCTTCCTCTATATAATCATTTGAGAAAATTACTTTATCCTGCACTGCTGTTTGTAGGCTTGATTCTAGCTAGAAATTGTTTGGCTGCTGCAGTTGTTTGGTTTGTTACTTGTTGTTCTGGCTACATTTGAAAAATGTTTCTTTTGCCGCTTTTGATCTTGTTTATAAGATGTTTTAACGTTTTACATTCTTTATCGTGTTGTTATTATTGTTATTATTATTGGCCCTTTTTTTGCGTTTTCATTATTTCAGTTTCTTTACATCTCTACTTTATCTTTAGAGAAACTTTTAAAAGTCACACACCCTTTCAAATGTTTGGCTGCTTGGACCTACTCGACTACTCAATTGATTACAAATATTTTTTTTGTTAGTTGTCGGTTTTTAACAACAAACTATAAACAAACTTATAAGGTTAGTTATTTTTTAGAAATATTCTACTTATAACAATAACACCAACTACCTATTCTAATAGCCTAGTCTATAGTCTAGTCTATAGTCTAGTCTAGTCTAGTCTATAGTCTAGTCTATAGTCTAGTCTATAGTCTAGTCTATAGTCTAGTCTATAGTCTAGTCTATAGTCTAGTCTATAGTCTAGTCTATAGTCTAGTCTATAGTCTAGTCTATAGTCTAGTCTATAGTCTAGTCTATAGTCTAGTCTATAGTCTAGTCTATAGTCTAGTCTATAGTCTAGTCTATAGTCTAAGTCCTATATGTCTATCCTATAGTCTAGTCTATAGTCTAGTCTATAGTCCTAGTCTATAGTCCTAGTCTATAGCTCAGTCGATAGCCTATCTATAGTCTAGTCCTATAGTCCTAGTCTATAGTCTAGTCTATAGTCTAGTCGAAGAGTCTGAGTCTATAGTCTAGTCTATAGTCTAGTCTATATTCTAGTCTATAGTCTAGTCTTATAGTCTAGTCTATAGTCCTAGTCTATAGTCTAGTTCTATAGTCCTAGGCTATAGTCCTAAGTCTAGAGTCTAGTTATAGTCTATAGTCTATAGTCTAGTCCTATAGTCTAGTCTATAGTCTATCTATAGTCTAGTCTAATCTAGTCTAGTCTAGTCTATAGTCGAGTCTATAGTCTAGTCTATAGTTCTATAGTCTAGTCTATAGTCTAGTCTAATAGTCTAGTCCGATATCAGTCTATAGTCATAGTCTAGTCTAGTCTATAGTCTAGTCTATGTCTAGTCTATAGTCCTAGTCTATAGTCTAGTCTATAGTCCTAGTCTATAGTCTAGTCTATAGTCTAAGTCTAGAGTCTAGTCTAGATCTAGTCTAGTCTATAGTCTAGTCTATAGTCTAGTCTATAGTCTAGTCTATAGTCTAGTCTATAGTCTAGTCTATAGTCTAGTCTATAGTCTAGTCTATAGTCTAGTCTATAGTCTAGTCTATAGTCTAGTCTATAGTCTAGTCTATAGTCTAGTCTATAGTCTAGTCTATAGTCTAGTCTATAGTCTAGTCTATAGTCTAGTCTATAGTCTAGTCTATAGTCTAGTCTATAGTCTAGTCTATAGTCTAGTCTATAGTCTAGTCTATAGTCTAGTCTATAGTCTAGTCTATAGTCTAGTCTATAGTCTAGTCTATAGTCTAG